ACAGATACAGATACAGATACAGATACAGATACAGATACAGATACAGATACAGATAGCTTACATAATATGCAGATACAGATGCAAATACTTAAACAGGAGCTTACTACAAGCGAGGCACATTTATTCAGAGATACGGCGCGACGCGATGCGATGCGATGGGATGAGATGAGTTGGGTGCTCTCAAACTTAACTTAAACGATATACAAAAGTCATATTAAAACGCATTGTTGGCGCTGATTTTGCTTATTTATGTACAAAATATCTAATATGAGCTTAAATGTATATTCATCTCTCTCTCTATCCCTCTCTCTCTCTCTCCCTCTCTCTCTCCCTCTCTCTCTCTCTCCCTCTCTCTCTTTCTATCTTTATATACACAATATATGTGCATATAGTGATATATGAATGGACTTTGTGTTTAGTGAAATATTTGTCTGTCTCTCGTGTAAAACAATAAGCAATAAGCAAGCCCCAACGAGGTGTATACGTAATATATATGTGGATATTCAGTTGTGGCCAGTGTTGGACAATGCGAGCAGTTTGTGGATTGTTGTGGCAGCATTATCTAATGCTTTAAGTGGAATACTCTATATACTGTACATACTCTATATAATCTATGTACTCTATGCACTCTTTATAGAGTGTATATACTCTATATAATGTACTCTATGCACTCTATATACTCTATATGCTCTATGTAATCTATATACTCTATATACTATATATACTCTATATACTCTGTATTCTCTATATACTATATAGTCAATTTACTCTATATACTCTATACTCTATACTCTATACTCTTATGTTTCGAATGGGTAGGGTATTTAGTGGCGCTAATGTGTCTGTTATTCAATTAGTGTGAACTTAATTAACTGTGATTGAACATTTCGCTGATTGTTATCCATGTTAAATTGATTATCATTAACACCAACGCGACGTCAGCCGGCGACAACTTCTCTTCGTCGCTGTAAATGCTGATTAAACATTATTGCATTATGCGGGCCGACGCGTCGGTTACAAAATGCGTTCGGGCTCAATTGACCCCCTAAGATGGGACAGACACTGAAAAACTAACTACAAGCTGAAGAAGCAGAAGAAATACTAATGCTCTTGTATACTCGGGATCTGCAGCAAGTGTCAGCCACATTTGGGCTTCTTTTATAGCTTAGTAAATTCCAATGTTGTTGTTGTTGTTCTTCTTCTTCTTGTTCAGTGTATGCTGTATATACGTTTGTTTGTGTACATAGAAGTATTATTGAGCTGTTGGCCGACGTTACGTATCGAAATTGTCTTCAATTGTTTATCGAAATTTATGCAAATTGTCCTACAAATGAAATGACAACAAAAAAAAAAAAAAAAAAAAAAATTCAAATATACTCTAAATATCCATCTATAGATGTCTTAGACAGGTGTACTAAAAACCATATTTTTATAAATATATAATAATATAAAAATAAAAAAAATAAATAAAATAATATAGTTAATTCTCCCAGCTTAAGTTTTGTTTTTATCCATCTTTAAAACTACTTTTAGACATTTTTAATGAGTTAATGTTTGTTTCATATCAAGTTTTAAAAAATCTTTACAATAATACGAATAGTTAAATGCTTTAAATACAATTGAAACTACATTTATTACTAAATTTGTATAAGGAATTTGTTTATATAATTCCATAAATGATTATATTTATAATATAATGTAATATTTTTTGGTTCTATTCTATCATACCTACTCTATCTATATTTTAATGAAACATCCCAAGACGTTAGTTTTTGAGATACCGGAAAATGCATATTTGCCTTTTCACATCCCTATCTGAGGATATAGTCAAATATATATTCCAAATTGCAAGTTTCTAACTGAGTTTGGCATTGATAAGGACAGACGGTCAGAAGGATGGATATTGCACAAACCCAATATACTCATTACACATTTGTGAATGAGTATAAAGATACATATAATATTTTATAATACAAACTTAACACTCGATTTTCATCGACTTGTAATCATATTCTAACTATCGTAAATATGATAGAGAAAGAATTGTTTACGTACCTACTACGGGTATGAGTAACGATCTCATTTAAGTAGTGCACCAAATGTTGTTTGTGTTTTCTAATTTTTTGTAATTTATCGGTCAAGTTTTGTTTTTTTTCTCGTATTTGTTGTTGTCTGTGTGTTTTTCTAGAACGCCGCCGTGCGTCGCTTTTTATTATTCAATTTGTTGATATCGAGAGATCAAAGCGCTTCTCGTATTTATTGTTTCCGTTGCTCGATAGTGCTATAGAATAGACTATCCAGCGATCCAACGGAACTCGACTCAACTCAACTCAAGTCAACTCAGCTGAAGCTCAGCTCAGTTGATCGATAATCAAGTGAAGTCGTCTACCCGCAATTGATATCGCTATCCGAATCGTGCACGAATCAAGCACTCAGAACTTCGGCTCTTGTCGCCGATGCAATTTCAAGCGAGTATATTTGTTTTGACTTTGGGAATTCGAATTTGGCACTTTAACTTGGAAATCACATTTATCTTGATAATGATTGGAAATAGATTAGTCAAAATACCTAAATATCTCTGTCTATTGTCTCTCTTTTTCTCTATATTATTTTCTAGATGTATGTATATAGTATATTTGTATGTGTGTGTATGTATACTCTCCCTAGCAGGTCTAAATTTTGAACATCTGATACTACTTGTTCAGATGCTTCAGTAATATCTCTTATATCTCTCTCGTATAAATCAACTTTTCATTCAAAGAATATTATGAATTTGATATATCTATATATCGAACAGTTTTTTGGCTAGACTGAAAACATCTTAGAGACCCTAAGCAATATGACTGTTCCATGAGCGAGTATTACGTAGTCGATTGGACTCGCACTTGTTGGTTTTTTGTTTTTTTTTATTATGAGTGTTGATTGTTGTCGATTCCTTAGGTGGGATCTCTCTGTGGACAGAGTCTTGTGGTGGTTCTTGATGCTTTGCCGTTTTAGTTCTTTACCGGCGCTTGAGAGCAAGAAGCGAGAAACTGTGACTAAACAAATAAATAAATACAAAAATAAAAATAGACATATATATATATATGCTCGAAAACGGCACGAAATATCGAAATAATTAAAGTGACAAACGTAAACATGAAATGTGCGCATTGCGATTATTTATTAACATCATCTATAAATACTACGAACTCTGCACAGACGTTGATCTCTTAATTGATGCCTAAAGATCTGTGAACTCTGTGTGTTAAACGAGCATGAAATTGAATAGACCTAACATTAATTAATCAAGCGATTATTCCAATTCGCACGTAAAGCTCTTAAAACCCATTTGTAAACAAAAACTCTATCAATTTCGTAGTATCATCAATAATTGTTGGCTGTCTGATGATAGATGCTTAAGTTGAATTATTGACTTTTTTTTGTTTTTTTTTTTTGTGTGTTATTGGTGTATTACCAAGAATAATACGAGTTTCGGAGATATCAATAATTTGTATTTTTTATTCAGCTCCAAATGGAGCGCTCAAAAGTAGGCAATATATTGCGAGCTATAAGTGGAGAGTGAAGATAAAAGTGAAGTTGCAGATAAATAATGAATAATGAGTAATGAAGGATGAATGAGGGATAATGAGAAGTGAATAATAATGAATAATGAATGATAAATATTGAACAATGAATAATGAAGAAATGATAGTGAGTGTAGAATGAATAAATGAATAATGAAATATGAATAAATTGATGAGCTATGAATGATGATTGTGACAACGAAATATTGATGAATAAGTAACGAATTTTTTATAGTGAATGATAGTAATAATTATTATAAAATTAATGATGAACAACGAATAATCAATATTAAACAAAAAACTATTGACTAATGAGAGTAATATATGATCAATAAAAATTGTGAATAGTTGATAATGGGCTATGACCGAACCAGTAATGAATAATGATTATGACTAATGATCATGACTAATGAACCATAAACTGATTGTGCTCTCGGCTTGATCTCTTCACAGATATAAATTGCACTCAGCCCGCCATTGATGATTTCCCCAGAGATCTATTCACGGAGGCGCAGAGACAGTCCGGTGCTGTTGTACTTCATGTTATAGCCAGTTTATATTTATTTGTAGCATTAGCAGTAGTATGTGATGAGTACTTTGTGCCAGCTGTTGAGAAAATATGTGCAGGTAATACTACTACAGGCGATTTCCAGTAGAGTCAACTCAGTCACTCATATGCTGAATCTATCTATCGCCTTTAGCACTCAATATGTCCAATGATGTGGCGGGCGCCACGTTTATGGCCGCGGCCACATCAGCGCCAGAGCTCTTTGTCAATGTGATAGGCACATTTATCACGGAGGGCGACATCGGAGTGGGCACCATTGTGGGCTCCGCGGTATTCAACATACTCGCTGTGGCCGCCTGTTGCGGCATCGGTGCTGGCATGGTAAGGCTCTCTACAACTACCAATGGAATGGCTCTCCTTGTGGCTAATATGATCTATGATTTCAACAGACTATACCGTTGGATTGGTGGCCTCTAACGAGAGATAGCATCGCCTATGGCATTACGGTCGCCATTCTCATCTGTGTGATGCACGATGAGCGCGTCGAATGGTATGAAGCATTGATTCTGGTATCGCTCTATGCGGTCTATTTGGCAGTCATGTATTTCGATAAATCCTTTCAAAAGTGCGCCAAAGGTGAGTCCAACAACGGGAACCAGAAACACACACGCACACACACACGGAAAGTAAACACCAGAGCATTACGAGAAGCATTATCAGCTCTGTTTATTGTCCAAACTAGAGCTGAGATCTGAGAATTAAAATGTAAAGATTTAGACTTAAACAAGAGATAGTATGTGAATATTGGATATGAGCTATTAGGAAAGTCCATTTAGTGACATGTTCTCGTAAAATTAGTAAAGACAGCTTGAAGTATGGATTTTACGGAGTGATTGAGCAATTGACAGGAATTTTTTATCTAAGAGTTAAGTTAACTTGAGAGTAAAGCTAATTTCTTGTCAGAAGACATCTCTGAGCAGTGAGAAGAGTAATGGATTGCCTATGCTAACTTTGACATGAGCTTTTGACAGCAACTTTATTCTATATGTATTCTATATTAACATAGACATGAGCTCTTAACAGTAACTTAATTTATATAAGGAAGTCAACTATATGATCAGCTATATATGTATATCTCAGATTAGGTTGAGTTTAATAGACCATCAGTGGAGTGGTTTAAGTTTGTCATTCAGATTTGATAGGATGTTCTATATCGATGAGATTGAACTGGATGTGAGCTATAGATTTGAAACTTTGCTTGATTGAAAGCAAAGGCGAATTTAATATTAAGCAGATGTAATCAAATTTAAGTCAAATAATAGCATGTAACTTTGATATGTAGAAAAGACAAGTTTAACTTTTAACAGGAACATAGACTTCCGTAGAAACCTTCCATGGAATATAGACTTCCATGGATGTGAAGAACATATTATGTGTATACTGACATAAGGCAGATGAGCCAGAGAGATTTTAATATGATTTTAATATGACATGAGTACTTGACAAAAGCCTAAAAGCACTAATTGTAGTTTATATCAAAACAGAGAGCGAGAGAGAGAGAGAGAGAGAGAGAGGAAGACAGACAGATAGTGAGAGACAGAAATATCAATAGAAGGCAGAGCATATAGAAACATACATAGCCTACACACATCTACACACACCTATACACACATGCACCCATACACATACCCACACACACTCACACACTCAAGCAATACATAACAGAAGTACCAACTCTCACACACAGGTGGCGTTAAGCAGGCGCGTTCGCGCAGCCGCTCCTCCAACTGCAGCATACACACAAAGAACAGCAATGAGAAGGAACCAGGTACAGCAAATACACATCGAAAACAAAGAAATACCCTGCATACATGGCATATCGGGTAGTTCAAGGCTAATTGAATCTTGTTTGGCATTTCGCAGAGCTCGTGGAGAATCGCATTTGCCATAATATGGCCAGCATTCAGCTGAATGGCGGCCTGAACAACGATCAGGCCAAGGTCAGCAGCGGCACAGCAGCCGGAGCTGGCTCTGGTGCTGCTCCAGGAGCTGGCGATGCAGCTGCAGCCGCTGGCGCAGGAGCTGGAGCCGGAGTCGGCGCAGCTGGAACTGGAGCTGGAGCAGGAACTGGGGCTGCCATTGCACCGGTCGCCATCATGGACAATGCAGATGCCGAGGCACAATTGGCTGTTGTTGCGGCGGCAGCAGCTGCCGTCGAGGAGCCCGAACAGGAGGGCTACTCGCTGCTGACATACCCGAAGGGCACCAGCTGCTTTGCCCAGTTCACCTGGATCATTATCTGGCCGATACACCTGCTCTTCCGCATCGCGATACCCGATTGCAAAAAGGCCAAGAATAATAAGATCTTTCCGCTTACGTTCATCATGTGCATTGTCTGGATTGGATCCCTCTCGTACTTCGTTGCGTGGATGATAACCATAATTGGTGAGTGGATTATCGACATTACGGCATGAACTGATTCATGGCATAAACTTAGTTACATTGATAAGGGGTATTCCCTATATGAGCCATATTCGATTTTGAGATTCTTTAAGCCTATTTGTTATAGATATATACATAAGCAGATATGGGTTCTGACGGACAGATCTCTATCTAGACTGATCTCTATCTATCGGAAGTACAGCCGAACGGACAATAGCTAACACAAGATGGTTTTACTTTGGAAAAACATTATGTTATTCATGAAAACAAGATCTTACATGCAGCATCATTTCATATGGAACTTGCAATTCGCAATAGGAGCTTTGGTTAAGACATTCTGCATCTGCTTTCAAGTGCTGTCTCGCATTAGTCTTCAAGTTTAGTCTTGCTTGAATGTAGAACATTTCTAGCACACGTTTCTTGTGTACCTCGAATTTAGTGGTACTTGGTTACAAGACTTCCGATATACATTCAAGTAGTATTATATGTTCAGTCCGTCCTTCTTTCTCCCTCATTTAAAGGTGTAATATCTAAACCCTAGAGAGCTCTAGCTCTAGCTCTCTGTTATGTTCGATTTGTTTGTTCTGCCCTACCCGTATTTTATAATGCTTCCTCTTCTCTATTTTTAATTATAGTGTGCTGTCCTAGCTCTAATGCCAACTGCAGCCAAAGCTCTCAATTTTGTTGAAGATTCCATGTCTTTCCATAGCAAAGAGCTCCAGTGGGTATTACTGCTGTCTCCGAACCACTATCCTCTCTGCTCTCATTTGCAGTGATGGAACCGCTCTCCACCTCATTTCAAATTCGAATGCATCCACCCATACATCACTAACTCCTTGTAAAAGTTCCAAGCATCGGCAGACTTTACTAGGTTACGATATTTCCGACGATGATATTTTCAGCCTTAGATGTAAGAGTAGTAGTGCTATTACTAGCATTAGTATTATTATCACCATCATTGCTCAATTGATTGTCTTTTGCTTTTGTCTTTCTCTCATCAGGCGATACACTTAAGATACCCGATTCGGTGATGGGCATTACGTTCCTGGCAGCCGGCACCAGTGTACCCGAGGCCGTGTCCAGCGTGATTGTGGCCAAGCGCGGTGAGTGTTGTGGCTAACTGCATTCAGTTGTAGAGACGGTCCGAGAGTAGGGCCTCGATTAAGTTTTGAGATGCTGATGTGCTGTATGTGGAATATTCTTGTTCGATTCGGTTGTCGTTGCAGGTCATGGATCGATGGGTATTTGCAATTCGATTGGCTCGAACACGTTCGATATACTGCTCTGCCTGGGCGTGCCCTGGCTGATCAAGGCGGTCTTCTTTCCGATACAGTCCGGCCAGAACTACGTGGCCATCAACTCCGCTGGCCTCGAATACTCGGCCATCACACTGCTCTCGACGCTCTTTCTGCTCTATCTGACCTTCTCGATGAACAAGTTCAAGCTGGACACGAAGGTGGGCATCGCGTGCCTGGTCATCTATTTGGTATTCATGGTATTTGCCTCGCTCATCGAGCTCAATGTGTTCTTTCGCGTCAATCTGCCAACATGCGGACGTTCATGAGCTGGAGTCAGAGTTGGAGTTGGAGTTGGTGTGGGAGCTGGAGCTAAAGCCGAAACTAGAGCTGTAGCTGGAGCTGGAGCTGGAGCTGTAGCTGGAACTAGTACTGCAATTTGGAGCTGGAACTGGAGATGGCCGTGCAGTCGTTTTAATTAATTAATTAATATGTATTTCCTGTTCTATTTCTATCTACCTTGATAGTTGAGTTACCTTTATGCTACTACGTTATGCTGTTATTGTAATACGTTTTTTTTTTTTTATTATTATTATTATTAAAGTAGAGGAAACTCTTGCCCCAAAGTGACATGAAATGAGAACAAAAACAAAAGCAAAACCAAACAACAACAAAAAAAAAAAAAAACCAAAAAAACAAAACAAATTCCATAATGTATTTATATGATTAATATATGAGATTTAACAAAAGAATACGATATCATGTAGTTTCTTCTTCTTCTCCTTCTCCATCTTCTAATAATCGGGTTTCAACAGGACTATTAATTGGAGAATTCGCCCAAGTTAAGAGATATTTAAGTCAAAAGTGATGCATATGAAATCTGTTTGCTTATCGATATAAATCGATCTTAAGCTAGACTCTTACGTGAGCGTAAGTAAGTATTCATAGGTATAAATACATATACGTCTATATCTCGCTTCGGTTTATGTAAGAATATTCCGCAATCCGACAGAGGAGGGGTAGGAAAACCCATTACACATATATACGATATACTTGATTTCATTCGATAACTCTCTCTCTCTCTCTCTCGTCTCGTATCGTAGATCTAGTTACATTTGCATAACTCAGCGAGGCTATCAAAATAAAAGTACTAAAAGAATATTAATTTTGTTCTCATATTTGAATGTGATGTTTTGTTTATTTTTTGTGTATATAATATGGAAGCAATCAAATCAATGTCTGTATTAACCCACGATATATTTCTATGGGATGGTAAGCAAACTGATCGAAGTCCTCAAATAGTTAGATCGAGTTATACCATGTCAATCATTGAACAGCGGAATTCTCATCGCCCACGAACGACACCCCGAACTGTACGTTGCCATCGATAGTTGAGTTCCCCAACGTAATGCGGAAGAAGTCAGCCGGTTATACGGTAGCGTGTGTATTTATTAGCATATACATTTTTATCACCTTGGCTATTCTCTGCGAAACCTATCTGATCCCATCCATCGAACGTCTATGCTATAGTAGGTATTCGCCAATCGGATTCAATCCAAGCCCTATGTATTTTCTTTCTTTCCATTCATCCATTTGTTCAGCTCTAAAGATGACCTATGATGTGGCGGGTGCCACATTCATGGCAGCTGCTACTTCGGCACCAGAACTCTTTGTTTGCCTTGTGGCCACGCTCATCGCCAAGGGCGACATAGGCATTGGAACCATTATCGGCTCTTCCGTCTTCAATGTTCTTGCCATTGCGGCCCTGTGTGGCGTATTTTCGGGTGTGGTACGCTCAAAGGGAGATATACACAGAGAAAGAGAGAGAGAGTGAGAGAGAGAGAGAAAGAAGTAGAGAGAGAGAGAGAGAGAATAAGAAGAGATCATGATATGTGTATGCCCTATCATGATATCTTTCTCTTGATTTTTCTTTCTATCCCCATATCTTCCTATCTATTCTCCTCTCTCTCTCTCTCTCTCTCCCTCTCTCTCTCTCCCTCTTTCTCTCTCTCTATCTCTCACCCTCACCCTCTCTTTCTAACACTCTCTCTTTTGCAGTACACGAAATTGGATTGGTGGCCAATAACTAGAGATTGCTTCTGGTATCTATTGACAATATGTATGCTCTTTGGCGTATTATACGATAGCAGAGTTGAACTCCACGAGGCCATTATCTTGTTTTTAATGTATTTCGTATATTTAATTGAATTGATATTTGATCGAAAGATCCAAAGTATATGTCGCAGTAAATATCTTTTAGAATAGATATTATATGCATATAATAATTTCAGTTCTAAAATTGGTTAAATGCATTTACAGAGGTGGATGTGGAGAAGGATACACTAACTGAGAATCCGATGACTCGTGAGGAAGATCCATTGAAATCGTTCAAGGAAATCGTTTGTGGCTTCCCAAAGAAAGAGGAAAAGGCCTATCACAAGGTCTGGTTTGCCATCAAATATCCAGCTATACTATTGCTGGCGGTGACAACGCCCAGTGCGCGATCGATCTACGTTTTCTGCTTGTTAATGGCCATTGCCTGGATTAGTGTTTTATCGTATCTGGTCACCTGGTCCCTCACCATCGTTGGCCACAACATCGGAGTGCCCGACTCGATCATGGGTCTCACCGTACTGGCATTCGGTACCAGTGTACCCGAAGGGGTATCCTCCTTCATTGTTGTCCGAAAAGGTACGTGTTTCTTTCTCATTTTCCGAATCTGAATTCGATTAGTCGCATATTATTTGCCAACAGCGTTCTAGCCTCTTGATTTCCGAATAGATGTTCGATTTCTGATTTTCGATTTACTTTTTGTATAGGAAACAATAAATGCTGCACCGCTCTGTAATATCTTTATGAAGCTTTCATTAGACCTTAGGGATACAAGTTCGAATTGCTTAACGTCAAATCCAAAAACTTGTTTGGCTTCGAATACAGGGTATCTGCTGGTCGGGCGCTTCCGACTAGAGAGCTCCTACTGGTGTTTCACTGTTTTTATTTTCTTAAGGCTACGGCTCGATGGCAATGTGCAATGCAATCGGATCGAACACTTTCGACATCTTCATCTGCATGGGTTTGCCCTGGCTGATTGCCGTGGCGATCGAAAAGAAGGATATTCACGTCAACTCGGATGGACTGGCCATCAACGTTGGCGTTCTGATCCTGACGGGCGCCATCGCCTATTTCAGCTTGCTTGGGACCAAGTTTGTTTTGGGCAAAATCGTTGGCTGGATTTGCTTGGTCAGCTATGTAGCCTTCCTTATCGTGGCTATCACTTTGGAGCTGATCAAATTGAAGCCAGTCTGTGACATCGAGTCGGGGTATTATTCATACTATACTAAGTAGGACTCCAAATTCTCAATGTTATCAAATATGTGGAAAATGCTATGTGATGAATATACAGCTGCGAAAAATAAAATAGCACCACTTGCATATTCAGAGTTTGAGGAGCTCTCCTGGACACATTTATCAATGTATTGATGTAATTTTTTCACTCAGATAAGCAGAAATTTATTAGTTATTACGGCAAAAAAAGAATTATTACAAAAATATTCATAGTTTTTATATAATAACTAATTCATTTCTGCTTATCTGAGTGAAAAAATTACATCAATACATTGATAAATGTGTCCAGGAGAACTCCTCAAACTCTGAATATGCAAGTGGTGCTATTTTATTTTTCGCAGCTATATATACATACATAATTCTTTTGCCTCACTTTCAGGTTATTTGAATTGCCTTTCGATCCGATCCGATGGCGAATTGTACGCCATATTGTTAGAAAGTTGGATTGACGCATCTATCTGGTATATAGATCAGAATGTTTAGCTGTTTGCGGGGCACGCGCAAAGCAACGATGACGTCAATTCGAGGCATTGTTATGACATCAATACAGCTACTCGAATTGTCATTGTCGAAGACTTATATACTATAGGACTATATATACTACACATAAATCTGAAGATAAGTGCACAGGTCTGCAGCTGTGTGCGTGTCTGTTTATAATTTATATTATTGATAAGACTTTCGCAGGCACATTTAAAAACCAAAACAGTTATAGATACAGATACTCCAAGTATATATATATATATATTATATGTATATATAGAGATATAGCTGTCGGTATGTGAAAGGTTCCGTTTTCGATACCACAACGTAGAGAATTGCCTTTGGCATCTATGACTATCTTAGAGACCCCAAGTTTATCTCAACTCTCGACCATATCATATCTATGTTATATCATATCTTTATCATATTTTATCATTTCCCACACGCTTACCGTGTATATCTTGGATTCGCTGCACGCACTTGGCAACCAGATCTGCCGAATCTACCGATAAGCCGTAATTAACATTATTTTCTGGACTAACTCGTGACCATAAAAGTTTGTTGAGAGTTTTGTGTGGGTGCCGATTGAAGTCAAGTCCTCTAATCTCGATTGCAGCCCATTTACAATGTCAAATTCGAGTGTTTTTCTCAGCTCGATAAGCAACAACATAGCCAAAAGTTTTCTAGGCAACAGCCCAAAGGCCCACATGCAAACACCCTGTATGAAATGGATAATATTAGACTATTTTATAGACGCCACGAAGAGCTATATGCAAAATTCTAATATTCTAAATCTGATAATTTTTTATAGATTTTCGATTTATTTCGTATATATATGAAGGTCTGCTATAAATCATATATGTAGGTTACATAGGACTATCTCCACATCTATTAGAGTCGAATCTGTGATCAATTGACTTTGAGTATGGCTAGATCTGTCCAAGAATATGCATATACAGGATATAGATACATCTATTGAGCGCCAATCCAAGCTCCATAACCATCTACCCTAGGGGTACAGGGTATCAACGAAAAGACTCCATCAGAAAATTTAGTCAAAGGCTGATTAAAGCAATACCTTATTTGATAATATACTTAAGATTAAAATATGGTCTTATATGTGAATATATATACATATATACATATATATATATACTTTAAATATATACTAGAAGTAATAAAATCGATTCGGCTAAATTAAGATCAATCTAAATTATGTGAATTTGAGTCAGAATGAATTTTGGCTTGTGTAGGTGGATGGTCAACTAGGAATTCTAATCGACGGAATAACAATTGAGGCAAGTAGCCAATAAATGTGCTCGTTATTTTTATGTGCTGGCATTTTTTTTTTTGTTTTTGGTTTTTTCAAATGGGGCCCTGATTAAATATTAACAATAAATTAGCTTCTTTTCATTATAGAAAAAATCAATCTTGGCATAAATCTGAATGGTTATAATTACCTGAGCTAATAATATACAATTTTTGGAGTACTTAGCTCGCATCTATCTAACGGAATATATAGGCTACAGTGTTGAACGAATTCGTTACTCGAAATTGGGGTATATCAATGAGGTCATCGTGAATAGATATGGATATATGTACTTAATAGTTTCCGATTGGCTCATCGTGCGGCTTGACGATTGATTGGTACGTGGGCTCTATTGCATTGCACTTGATTGATTGATTAGTCGACTGACTGATTGGTTGAGTGATGAAGTGATTGATGGATTGATTGATAGCCTAATCAATCTAGCTAAATGAATGTACGATTGATGGCCTGACCAACTGGTTGATTGACTGATTGAATAATGAACTGTAAGATTGATGATTGGTCGATTGACCTGCACGCAGTCATTAAGGTTGATTGACTGACTGCCGATGATTGATCAGCTAGATTGATTGACTCGTTGATACATAGACAGAGTGATTGAGCTGATTGATTGAATGATTGAGATATTAATTCAAAAACTGATTGACCGACTGACAGACTCATAAATAAGATGACTGATTGATGATGAATGATTGACTAGCTACTTGATTGATAGACTGACTGCGTGATTGATGACTTGTATGAATGACTGGTTGATTGATTGCAGATTGATTGATAGTTCAATGATCAAATAGCTAACTGATTGACCGATCAATAGATTGCCTGGTGTATTCCCAGGTTAGATTAAATTGCTTGATTGACTGATGGATTGATTGAGTTTACGTACTCAACGTGCCATAGGAAATGAAATAACCTTCGGCACAGTTTCAAACTGTCCTGCTATAATAAAATTGTGCAAAAGTAAAGTTCACTCCGGTTTCATATGGAAGCCATAGCCTGAGTAATCGAGCCGTGACCTTTAAATCAGTCTCAAGTGTAAGGCAACGCGGACAACAGTGTTGAATAATATTACAGAATAGTATTGATGGACATATCTATCGAAAATACTTAGCAGCCAGACAGCTAGTTAAGTTTAGAGACCCGCCGCTAAGACCGGCACTTAAACTGTCTATCAGAATTTTAGGCCCATATACCTGTTGTATTTTTATTCTACAACTCTTTGGGGTAGCTTAGAAGTTGCATGATATATGACAGGGAATTGTTGGTAACGACTACGCCACTGATTTGTTTGTGGTAGAAATGACGTCTATGCCGTAGACTCACAACAAGTATGACGTCCATTGAGAAAGAAGTCGAAAGACTCTTGTATTATAGAAAACAAAAGTACAATGCTAATCAATGGGCTGCCTGATTTGATTGTTCGCTAATCTTCCAGATATGATAAAAAGAAATCTATATAAAAATAAACACGCTCCAAACAAAATAGTGAACCGTTTTGGGTATTTACCCTTAGGGATTACTTCTCACATGCTGCGCCGAGAAAATCTTAAAACCGTCTCAAATTTGATTTCAGGACTTAAGCAAGCGAAACAAGTAAACCCTTATAGATCCTGAAATCTCTAGATGATAATGATGATATCATGAGTTGATTGGATAATGTATGATATGATGTGATATGATCTTATATGATATGTAGTAGTATAATTTTCATTAAAAAAATAAGAAAGTAAGAAAATTAGAGTATTTCGAAACCTATTTTGTTTATAATACATATGCATACACATCTAGATTTCTATCATTCAGGAAGTACAAAGAACAATATATATTTAAAGAACACCTGCGATTATTATAAATAACAAAAATATAGCCTATAAAAAGTGCAACCAAGATTTTAGATTGCACAAAAAATGAGTGCGAAAATATGTGTATAAAATTATTTAAAAATATCTATATACATACATATGTATGTGTGCTCAATAAATCCAATATACAGTATATATAATTTGTTTGCCTTTAGTAATATTTGATGCTTATAGAGGTACAGCAAGAAAGAAAAGAAAAAGTATGCGTCAGCCAGCTAAGCTAGGTAGTACCCGCTATAAATGTACATATATCTATATATAGTCGATACATATATATTGATATATGCATGTAGAGATAGCATTCTTTTGTCAATGAGGTATTTTGCAAATGGTTTATTAAATATTTCCCCAATTTGTAATAAAAAGGGAAATAAAGTTAACTCCCCGCGTCAAATCGGATATATGTAACTAAATATAGAAAGCTAAGCATCAGCACTGATGCAGCACATTTGATCGATGTGATATTACCTATGGTAAAAGCACATATTGAACTTAGCCCGAAGCAAAGGGAAGTACAATACAAAAAAGTAATTAATGTAGAATTGTTCGATCTAGCGTTTGGTGTTGTTGTTCAGGACGGCAAACTGCATGTCGAGCTAATTATATTTATATATGCATCTATGAAAGTGAAACTGTTGAATGCGCTGGCCCGTCTAGCGACCAGCTGATCCCAGCCGATCAGTGAGAGGTACGGATTGGCGATCAATGATCAAATGTCGCACGTGAATCCTATAAATAGTTTCAGAGACGATCTTTCCAATTAAGTGTGAAAATACCCAAAGTCTTTCAATTGATTACAGCAAATGCAAACTCACACCTACACACACACACACACACGCATACAAATGAGCTGGAGAGCTGGACGGCAATAGATTGATAAACATTGCATTGCAATTGTTGTTTTTTTTTCGCTCTTATCAAAACGATATCGTCTATATTAATGAGTGCGCGTTACAAGCCCTGCTCTCTATGCAACATGTGTCTGCGAGTGAGTGGTACGACTAGCGAGTACCCTAGACCTAGATCCACTTGCTAGTTAGATCTCTGATAACTCCGTTGTCAAATGAAATTTACAGTAATTTTTTGTATATATGTTAGTAATACTCAAATGAAGACTAAAATATTTACACTCACTTTCATCGATTATTTCTCATAAATCGATGGATAAATCGATACCTTAACTATATCAGCTCGCCCATATTTCATGCAATTCAATGTATACAGACGTTCAGATATTTCATATAGTTAAATATATAACGACTTTTCGATATTTCATATAGTCAAGATGAGAAATTTAATAAATTGTGTGAACCTGGAAGAACATCTACATATATTGTATGAATTGTATGAATCACATACATACATACATACATATGCATACGAAAATGTGTAATATCATAGATTTACATACATATAAAAACTTGTATTATAATGTGGATGGGATAGTCTGTACTATCCGTGACTTCCGCTTGTCTAAAACTATAGAGTATAAACAGCATAATGCGCCAATTGATACCAAGAAGCAGCTACACACACAGTCACACACACACACACACACTCACACGAAATCAATAAAAATCAGTGAATTACAAATAATCGAAAATCGAAAAAACTTGAGTTATGTATGTGTAGCCGACAAGCAGATATCCTATGTCTCCATACGAACCTAACCAAACTTTCAACTGTTTTTCGGTTTTAATCAGACTAATAAATATTTTGTTCGATATTTCGAAAATGTAATAAATTATTAATACAAATTTTAAGTTTTCGTTCGTTACAATTAAAATATAATAAATATGAAATTTTTTTAAAGCAAAATAGTATACATAGGTATCAGAATAAATGCATTGCATGCATTGATCATGAATGATCATGAATATGCACTATGTATGCTACAGATACAGTTTTGTCTGTGACGTGCGCATGTCCACAGTTGAAATGCTCAAATTAGGCATTTTCAATGCGTTTTTAGAGTATCAAATGAGCGCAAAACGGAAAACGAAAACGAAAACGTTGTCAAGTGTTCAAGACTTGACTGCACGCCAGGCAGAGATAAACTCTTTAAAATACAACAACAACAACAACAGCAGCAGCAGCAAGTAGCAACAGCAACAGCAACAACAAAGAAATATAACCAATAACGGCTTTTGCCTCAGACAGCTGCTAGCGCTGGCAGCAACGCTCAACAGCGCACAGTGGGACATTTACTCATTTTGCGTTGCGAATATCATAATCTTTTCAAGCCTAGCAAATTTGCCCAACAGTGAAGGGTGTGAAATAAAATCATTTTCAACAAGAAGCATTTTAGCTTTTCATACAAATGAAAGAATTTTTTGTATATAAAATCACATTTTTCATGTTTGAGATAAAACTGTGAAGCCAACAGTTAATGCATAATTAGTTTCATTTTAAAGCTTGAAGAATTCTCTGCCGAATGCTTTTTAGATTTCTAGTATACCTTGCTTGGTTTTCAAATTATGATATTCGTAACACAAAATGAGCCACTGTGCGTCGCAACGTTAGCGTCGACGCGTACAGCGACGGCGACTGCGACGCTGGCGTCGCTGTTTATTATTAAGACGCGCGCGCGCTGGTCGCACTTAATTAGTTGTGCGCCACAATTCAAGCCAAGCGGTCGACGCAGCCGTCAGCCAACGTAAAGAGACAAAGCGCAACACAAGAAGAGGGCGAAGAAGCAGCAGCAGCAGCAACAGTCGCAAGAAAGAAAAGCATAAAATCAAAAACCAAAAAGAAAAAGCAGTAACGAAAAAACCACCGCTGACAGAAATCGAAGTACAATTAAATGCATACAACTCCGCCCGTCGAACAACAAATTCGAAGTTTCAAATTCGAAAACGAAAACGAAAACGCGCAAGCAAACGTAACAAGCGCAAACGTAAGCGGGAACGCGACCATTAACGTTAACGTCAATGCAAGCGAGTTCAAGAGCGTCGCGCATACGCCGTGAGTGAAGCCAACGAACGAAAGAAAACGAGAAAACAAAAGAAAACAAATCGAAGAAAACAATTTCAAAGAAAATTTCATAAATTTCAGGGCGCACGTGTGGCACGTGTCGCTGGTTATTTTCATTTGCCATCGTAAATAACTTTCGACTCTTTTTTTTTTTTTTTGGCTAAAAATCAAAACAAAGTTTTTATTTTTGTTAAAGTTGTTTGTTTGTTTTTTTTTTTTTTACCTAACTGTTTCTGTTCGTATCATGTTGATGAACGGGCGCCTTTTGCTCGGCGTTCTCATACTAATTGCCAGCAGCATAGCGGATACACAAGCCACAGGTGAGTAAATAGATCAAATTCTTTAATTTTCGAAAATTAAAAGAGAATATAAATTCTTAAATTATTCGGCAATTGCACAGAAATCCCCCCAAAGCTTCAATGAAACGCGATTACAATAGGAAAACGAATTTATGTGCTATTGATCAGCTAATAGATATCCTAAGTGGCTAGAGCTAAAAGAAAATAGTAGAGTTTATGAGTTCTTCTCTATTTCAAATGATCTATCTATATTCGTACTACTAATAAATATCGTCACTTGACTGTAATACGTTAGCAATACCAATAAATTTGAGATGTTCAAATGGGGAATACTTCATCTCACTTTGGATCAATTAGAGTTTAGTTTGCCCTAAATAATATATATTATTATTATTATTATTATTTTTTTGTGTGTTGTTCCCTCTAATAAACTAACTAGTAAAAAAAACTTTCCCAGCTTTGATTGATCGCCTAATTATTCCGTTGAGCTCCGAGCCTGATAAATTGTGACTGACAAGTGTATTTAGCACATATTATTTTTGATACACAAATTGCCAGTTGAGTAGCTCAAATGTGTAGGTCTGTCAGCTGTACTGGTTCGCAATACTCAATTCAAATATCATTCTAATATCTATATCGAATGGATCTCAAATACTTTTTCATGAACTTAGATCCGAAAATAGAATCTGAGGGATCTATGAATTGAACAGACAAAAAGCAAGTAAGACTTTTGCACTCGGCTAGTATTCATCCTTAGATTATCAATCTCAAAGTGCTCAAGTTATAGATCTAAAAGGTCTATATATATCTATATCTCTAGTCTAGTCTATATCTACACTATATTTGGTCCTCAAAAGCTCACACTACTTTATATATGTATACCAAATTGCATTTCGCCTTATAATAGCTATATATATTGAATGGATCTCAACGATCTAATATAGTATTTTTACTTTCTGAGCGAGTAGTGAATAAAAGCTACATATGCAGCTGTTGTCGAGCACACAGGAAAACCCTTTCTGCATGGGGCCTATCAGCTAGCTAAGTTGATAACAACTCGCTAAGATCGAAAGATTGGCACAATCATAAATACATTTCTATACTTAGATATACCTATATATACATATATACATATGTATGCAGGTTTGTCTACATCTTAATGCTCTATATATGTATATAGAGTTCAACTGCGAACTGCTGCAGCTGAATGCAGCATTACCGCGGCATCTGCTGATAAAATAAATCAAACTCGGAACTGATTTATAAAAGCATATACATATACCCATGTGTGATAGAAATATACCATATAACTAGTGTCAATCATTTGATCGATGCGATTAGCTGGCACCTGTTTAATTGATAAAAGCTAAACTGTTTTATTTATTTTATTTTTTTTTTATTCGGTAATTCGCATGAGAGCTAAGAGCTCTGAGTGGGTGGTCAAAGAATTTTGACCTTTGATATTCGAGTCCATCATACACTGATGGACGCATTTGATAAAACTCAGAAAGGAGATAGAGGAGAGAACAAAGTGTATACATGAAAATCAGATATGAAACAACTAAAATGGATTGCATTGTGAGAAATATAGCCATAGACATAATATGATATGGGCACATTCCCCCAGAAGCAAAGATTAAAAATGTATAGACTGTATTCTTACATAGACTACATACTCCATACAAATGCACTCGATGCGTATCGGAATCAAAACTGAAAGCAGCAAACTGAATAGAAATTTGAGTTTCATAGAGTTTATCGATAGCATATAGAGAATAGATCATTCTCTACTATAATGTGAAGAAAACTTTTCTAGCTTAAGTCATTAGAGTAGTACAGTTATCCATACTTTTCTCTACATATTGCTTACACAGAATAACTTAGCCTGCCAAAAACTTAGAATATCTATACAAATATCATAAGAATCTGTTTAGTTCCAAGAACTACTAATTGCACACATAAAATAAGTCACCTGACTGAAAGAGAAAAAGAAACGTGCTGTCAAAAAGCAAAAAAAAAAAAAAAACAAGATGTACAATAAACAAGATAGGATCGAGCACTTACAAAGATAGATGAACATGCACACATACATATATATACGTACATTTGTATGTATGTAAATGCACTTGTATATATTATGATTTATACTAGCAGTTTATATAGTACTTGAGCAACGTAAACCGCTTAAGAGCACTCGTGCTGCAAATTATCGATTAGTAATGCTCGCTCAAGTAACTAGAAACTAAGTATATTAGTAAAGCTCATCTGAAGATTTGTGAATCGCCAAATGTATCTAAATATGCAGTTGATCTTATGGATTTATGTATGTTTATAATAGATGACGTAGAATATCTGATCGAAAGTCTTCTTTCCTGAAGTTATCTGCAAGCGAGTATTACGCAGTTACTAAGACTCTGTCTGGATTCTTAATTGCTTTGCGCAAGGGTTGGGGGATTTTATTACGTGGCGTTGCCACCCATTCATAATTGTTGCATAAACACATTCGAGAGATGCCCGCGCACGCTATAAACACCGACGTCATATGACAAGCGTTTTTTTGTTTTTGTTTTTTCTGTTTTTTGTTTTTCTTTTCTTTGTGCTTTCTGTACTTTAGCCAGGTCCACTTCAGCATAAGCAATCGCATGGTCTATTGATAGGTGTGGATGTAAATGCACCGTTACTATGCACATATGACAGGGTGATTCCCGTGCCGTCTTGATTCACTGACATTGATCCCGTCTCTCTATAAATAGCTGGCACTTGAATAGGATTCATCGGAAGCCAGTTGGTTATTCCCATTTTCGAATTCCCAATTCAAATTCCAATTCCAATTCGAATTCCGATTCCGATTCCACTTAGCTGGGATATTTGAACTCTATCAAATGTGTAGCACATTGATGACTGCTGCTAAAGATACCCTGTAACTAAATTTAAGAGGCAGGAATAAGGATCCTAACATTTCCCGTCGAGTCATCAAGAACTAGGAGATATACTTACACTCAAAAGTACCTCCAAAAGTAAAAATTTCTAATCGGAATTGACTTTATAGGCATTTATACACAGCTCTTATACATCGGGAAATATAAATAAGATTTATCGGTAACATCTACACTTATTGGGGCGTGTCTAATCAGAAAATGGGCCTTAGGTTAATTATTTTTGCAGCTCAAGTCATTTTGGTAGCATCTTGTTTCGGTTTCCAGGGTATTTGATAGTATATAAACATATTTATTTACTTATTTACCCAATTACTACAATTTACTAATTATATCGTTGTAATTGTAATGTTAATATTCTTATTAATATTTGTTGTTGTTGTTGTAATTGCTATTCCTCTTGTTGTTGTTGTTGTATCTGGTATTTCTGTTGCCAGCAGACATATATGTATCCATATCAACGTCCCGGTGTCTCTCGGTATTTGGCGAACAAACAGTCAAATCAAACATCGCGAGACGACGGCGTTCGCCTTTGATGGCTACACTGTCCGACAAAAACGTAGCCCTTTAGATATAGGCATCTATGTATTTCTATTGCTCTGTCTTATTGATGGATTTATATTCGTGTCGTAATTCATTTCGCTTGGCTTTTTTCTTTTTTTGACAAAACTTAGTTAAAAATGCTTTCCAATTTATCTAAAAATATTATTTTGCATTTGATATATTTATTATATGTTTTAGGATCGTATATTTCACCTTTTATTATGTATTTGCACTCCAAGCTTTGAAGGCTTTCCATTTGCTAACTCCGTCACGTTTTTCTAGTGCCGCAATTCCAGCATTCCCTCTTTAAAGTAATTCTTTCCATTGCATTTCATTTCTAGTGTCCCAACTCCCAGCATTCCATTTATAAATCGCCAGTGTCAATAGTATTAAGCGCTGTCGTTTTACTTTTATCTCTCTAGTTGATTAGAATTTCACTCAATTGGCTATACTTTCGTTCAGCACAGTCATTCCAATCATGGTGCTCCTATTCCATTATTCCATTTATGAAATTTTTGTCTGTCAATTGCTATATTTCTTATCATATAACTATGTAAATTTCATAGCTCAGCATTTGACCTGACTCTCCATATCCCAGCAAGGCGTTTCATTCTCAATGTTCCAGTGTTCCAGTTCCATATTTCTATACATATTTTCTGCCAGTGCGCTATTCTATTTAATATCACATCACTGTGATTAGTTTATATAAATTTATGTATGTATTATAGTGTCTCAATTCCAACGTTCCATTTCCCTACAATGTCATTCATTGAACATAGTGTGTGTGATAAGATTTTCATGAATCAATCAAGATCTAATTCTGAAGTGCTTTAATTCCAACTTCCTTTTCCATATACCGAAAGTCATGATGTCATTCCCATTCCTATATCACATAACTGTTCATTCAAAATCAAGCACTTCAGTTTCACTTCAATTTGTCACACTCCACATTGAAATCAATTCAAAGCGCTGATTCCATTCCATTCCATTTCCATTTCCGTTGCCCAGTGTGGATCAATCTCATTTGTTTATTTTAGTAACAATTAACAAGATGTAAACAGCATTTAGTTCTGTTTTTTTTTTATAGCTTGGGAAACGATGAATTGATTTGCATAGAGCCAGCCACCCGCCACACGATCGGCTAAACGTATTGCCAATTAGACAGCAATACTTCGAAGAAGAAGCAGAAAACCTAACTAAATAAACAAACAATTAAACAAAAATTGTTATCGCAATTTACATTTGCACAATTCAAATGATGAACGATCAAAATATTGTAAAGAGTTCAGCTGGGCTAGGGCAAGGGCAAGGGCAAGGGCAAGGGCTGAAGCTAGGGTTAGGGGTATTCCCTTGAGATTTTTTCAAGGGATATGCTGGGATTTTCATACATCGACCACTTGGGTATTTCTCTTCTGCTTAGATTGTCATTGCCATAACCATAGCCATAGCAATGCGAACGCCACCTCGACACCTGTCAACAGGTTCAATAAACTTGTTTAGACGCCTATTTAGATGCTGCCAGCTCTCAGATGTATATATCTATGTACATGTTTATATATATGTATATAATATAATAATAATCGTAATGACATCTCACATATTCACACATTGCATTCATTGTCAATGTGCTGGGTAGGCAAGCGGGTATATTAGTGCGCATATAGAGTCTGGGAATAAGAAGTTCTTAGGCAGTTTCAACTCTGAAATGCCTGGATTTTCATGGCAATAGATGAAGCTATAGAAAAAACATGTTTAAAGTATATCTAGTTCCTTGGCATGCATGAAATTTAGTGGTAATAGATCTATGTATGCGTAATATTGCATATAAACGTAGAATATCTAGTAATAGATCTAGGTATGCATACATATAATAGATCTACGTACTGGTAATAGATCTACGTACTGGTAATAGATCTACGTACTGGTGATAGATCTACGTACACATCTTGTATAATGCTAGCTCTTCAACGATTTCATGCAGCCCTAGCTTTAAGCACTACTTAGGCACTGTCCTATACCCTGTATGCATGCATACCATAGTCTATATATTCATCTATGTACACTGAATACCCTATTACAAATTCTGCTTTCAGACTATCATACACTGAGCTAATGTTCTTCCATTGCAATCTCAGTTCGATTTCATTTCGTTACAGGGTATGCCACACGTCGTGCCTCGTGTAACTTTGTCTCTGTTCAGTTTTTTCTAATTAGAAAATTATGTTTTGATTGCCCCGGTGGCATTTGTAGTTCCCTCTCATTGTTTCATTAGCGCCCAGCTGCAAGCGACATGCAATTCAGAGTGCACACAGATCATAACAATATCTATATAGACGATATACATACATACATATATATATATGTATATATATATATGTATATATAAATATGTATATCTAAATACTTGTAAACAATAACGAATAATCTAAGCATAAACGATGCGCTGGCCGTTGGAATTTCAATGCGAAAAGTTCACCTGGTGCACATTCCGCTTACTTAATTGATGGAGCGTGCGCGGCTCATAGATACCCTAGGAATGCAGCAAGGCTTTCTAATTAAATGCTACGAAAAATGATTTATTCAATTATGTTGTGTGAATGCAACAAATATTTTGTTGTAGCTCATATGATACTGAAATGATAAACTAGTAGATATCCTGTAAAGGGCTGATGTTATGAATTTAAAGCAAAAATATATTATTCTAGAACCCTTTTACTGTAACTCTTCAACTTACGTTGGTACACCAAATCCAAATATGACACACGAGTGATAGACAAGCAGATACCCTGTAATAATAAAATAATATAATTTTTTATTTCTATTTAAACAAGCATATAATAGCTCTTATGGCATGTTTTACATTTTGAATATAACACAAAAATGATGAGCTAATAGATACTCTGTAAAGAGGCTTATCTTGAAATGGATTCTAATATACAAATATATTCATGAATAGCTCTTTCATATTGGATATCGCTGAGCCAGCGCAGAGCTTTACGAACTCATACACCCGCCTTTATTGAGTCACTTAACAGCTTTATACAGCTCGAAAAGACTTTAGTCTGGAGACAGTAAAGAAACGTCTCGATTGCCATTCACGACTACCACAACTTTTGATATCCAATTGACGATAAGACAATTACGACTACAGGGTATATGCTAGACAGATGAATCACTTTGGATTGCGGGCAAAAGTTTTGTTTTGCTTTGCTGATAAGAGCCAAAGGCCCCTCAGACTGTGCGGCTAATTGTAAGGTACTTCTGTGGAATCAAAACAAGATATATACGTATATCTATATGGAATGACAGACATCGTTATATGGCATTAGTTAAGACAAATTATGACCAACCATAAGCACTTAATCAGGCCTTATAAAAGATATGCCAAAGGAAAACAAAATAAAGCCCTAACCTAATGAGTCTACAGATTATTTCTGGACGACAAGTCAAATGTTAAATCAAATTGGTAATCAGAGAGAGAGAGAGAGAGAGAGAGAGAGAGAGAGAGCGAAAGATAAATGCATATATACATATAGAGCGATATTCATACAATAAAAATGTGCTGCTTCTTCTTCTTCAATTGGAAGTTCCATTTCGATTTGATGTTCAGTGTCGTTCGATTTATTTCAAGCATAAAACATCTGACATCTGGCATCTAATTGCTGGGCTATATAATTCTTTATCTTTTCACGATTTGTGGAATTTTTTTTTCTTTTCTTTTATTGTATTTTTTGTTTGTTATTGCGTGAGAAACAATTAAAATCAGTTAATGAGCGCAGTTAGAACTTGGCTAATAGCTAATAGCTTTTTAGTTGCGAAAAGAAAAAAAACAAAAAACGTGTTCGACTCGTGGAAAACTTTTGTATGCGAAGTAATTGATTATTTGCCCATGCGGGTGGCTCCAACTAATCGTAGACTCTCCTCCATGGTCACAGTTTTATTTGATTTTCTTCGCAGCATTAAGCTACAGCAAAGCTGAGGTATATATTATTTAGATATAGTTTTATAGATGAAGAAGAAGCTATGTCTACTAGATTTCGAAATTGATTATTGATAAGAATATGATCGTTCTCTACAGAGATATAAATCTCATGTAGATGACTATGGGCACGATGAGGTGTTCCCTTTCTTAAAGGGATGAGAGTTACAGTTCAGATTCGATTCTAGACTGAGACGAAACTTTTGTCTTTTGCCACTTCTTACACATACATATAAACATTAGTTTATAGAGTATCTATAAATCGCATATACTTGTGGGCAATCTGTCATTCAGTTTGCTTGGAAGTATTATAATTGTGCATTTATGATTTTCAGGGCTGCAGTGTCAGCCTTATCACAGTTTCTAGGAGATGTTATCTATAGTGTAACAAGAATATATCTAGATATCTATACAACTATAGCTAGACTATATATCTAGCTGCATCACCATCGACAATTCTAAGAAACTTAATTTAACTCTCTGATTTACTCAAATATTTGGCTTTTCTCTGTTGCAGTAAATAATGGAACGAGTTTCTTGGAAACATCGTTGAGATATTTGGATGAACAGCTGCTCTACGATCTATTGCCACGTGGCACGTGCCCTGGAGATGTGGAAGATGCGCCGCTCGATGAGTTCCCCGATATATTTACAGGTAAGCGAGTCGAGACAAATCGTATCAAATAGTTAAGATAGCTCTCTTAACTCTAGTAATCTAGTTCTAGAGCGGAATGCTATAGTCAATCTCTTTCTCTGACACTGTCTCACATTACCTCACTTTCTCTTAATGTCTCTCGTTTTGTTTCCCTCCATCCCTCTCTCTTAGCTCTTTGACCATATCTCTATCTTTCTTACCTTCTCTTTTGTCAATCCCTGATCTTACTTTAGTCCCTCACTCCTGGTTTCTCTCACGTCTCGCTCAGCCCTACTCCACTACATCGTATATCGTATATATTTATTGTGGAGTATCTCACAAACTTGAACTTGCTGGCCATGTGGCACCAATGGTCTTCCTGGCCGAGCGCAGGTCTTATCACTGGGCCAGGGCTAAATCGAATGCTAAGGCCCCCGATAAGCGAGACACCGTTCCACGGGCCAATAAATCAATCAAGGCAAATGTGTTTACTCTGGGATATCAACTAGAGTAACACGACAAATGCGAATCGAGTCCAGTTCGTGAACCAGTTCCAGTTCCAGTTCCAGTACTACTTCGTTTCGGCACTTTAAATAAGCGACTCTCAACACGTATCTTGTCTGCAAATGTACATATACATATATACATATGTATGTATGTATAGAGGTATATCTATATCTATATATTTGCCTCTCTTCAAATCGTGCTTCTTATCGTGGAAAACCTTTAATTAAACTACAATACTTGGAACATGACAGATACGCATACTGAGAGCCATAACTGTGCTCACCATGTAATAAATAGCAACAGTTTCTTTATCTCTGCCATATGCCCATCGAGTGCTCTGTAACCTAGAATATATACATATGTATATGTTTGGAGATTGTATCATCCATCTCTTGCCTATCGTGAGAGTCGACGTTGCTGCTTGGAAACCAAATTAGCTGCCTAATCGAAGCGTTCACTGCTCTGCCCTGAAAAATGTTAATGTCAATGTTAATATTTTATATAATTTCTTCATATGTCTCTCTCGTCCCGCAGTGGAAGAGCTGCGCCAGGGCTGGGTAGCACTGCACGTCTTCGCTGCGATCTATTTCTTCATATTGCTGGCCATCATATGCAACGATTATTTTCTGCCCACCGTCGAGTGCATTTGCGAGGATCTCAATCTGTCCAAGGATGTGGCGGCGGCGACGTTTATGGCCACGGCCACATCGATGCCGGAGTTCTTTACGAACACGATATCCACGCTGATATTGGAGTCTGATATGGGTCTGGGCACCATCATTGGCTCACTGATGTTCAACACGCTCGGCGTGGCTGGCCTTGCAGCTTTGGCCATAAGCAAGGTAAGCAGCTAAGAGATGATGCGTGTGGCAATCTTCACTGTACTTTCCAATTGCATTTGCATTCGCAGCCGGTTCAACTGGATTGGTGGCCCATAGCTCGGGATTGCGTCATCTATCTGTTCAATACGATCGTTTTGCTGGTACTCGCTTGGGGCGGCAGCATAAGCTTTGTTGAATCCTGCGTCATGATGGGTTTTCTGCTACTCTACTATTTGATTACGTTCAACAACAATAAGTTTATGCCGGCCATACGTGTCTTTATCGAGGATCGCATGAACTGCTGTTTCTCCACACGCTACGGTTGGTATATCTCTACTTTGACTTTGACCAAATACAATCGGTTCACTAACATCCTTCGTTTTTATTCCAAATCAGATCTCACAGAGCCGCCAGAGAACAGTGCTAAAGCGCAACTGCCTTTGAAGAAGGATCCACTTTCGGGCGATGGTCTATTTGTGATCAATTTTCCGGAGAATACCTCATCCATGTCATCTACAGCCAACTTGACACACTCCAAGCATTGTAAGTTCAATAAAAATACAACAAATTTGAAACCGCATTTCATTTAGTGACAAATGAAACTAGATTTTGTTACAAATCGCCATTTTGAAATGCGCGCCCTTAGAGATTTCTGATTTGCATTTGAACTCTTCATCATCGATATACTCTGAGGTATTTTCGATAGACTTACATGTATCGTCGATAGCTACTGCTTTAAACTTGATATACTAAACTGCTATCGATGGATAACGAATTTAAATTCCCAACTGAAAATTGCGATTGCTATCGATGGGCGACTAATTAAACATCTCCTTTCATCCCTATCTTTGCAGGGAATGGCGAGGATGAAGACGATCAAATGCCGGCAAGCATTTTTGCGTATCCACACAGTGAAACGGGTTTCATGAAATTCTGGTGGGTCTTCACGTTCCCAATTAAGCTGGTGCTGCGCGTCTGCATACCACATCCAATCAGACATCGTCGTCTCTATCCGTTGTCCTTCATCATGTGCATCATTTGCATTGGCGCCAATGCCTATTTGATTGTCTGGATGTTGACGGCATTTGGTGTGGCAATACGTGTGCCCACAATTGTGATGGGTCTCACATTCCTCGCCGCCGGCTCCACAATGCCCGAAGCAGTTTCTAGCCTCATATCGCTGCGAAATGGTAAGAAAATACGATACGAACATTCGCCTACAGCTGGAACTAATTTTATTTGTTTTCAGGTGAAAATGGCATCGGTGTCTCGAATTCGCTCGGCGCCAATTCACTAGCCATTTTGCTGTCGCTGGGCGTGCCTTGGTTTGTGAAGAACTGCATGAACTATGGCACCGGCATCAAACAGCAGGTGGGCACCCAGGGCATCGAGTATAATATTCTGATCCTGATATTGTGCACCATTGGCCTGTTCATCGTACTCAGCTGCAGCGGCTATCGGCTAACGAAGCGCGTTGGCATCGCTCTATTTACCGTTTATACAGTATTTATAGTGCTGCAGATATTGATCGAGATGCACGTGCTCTTCCCATTGGATTGCACTAGCTAGTCAGAGCAACAACAAAGGCAACAATAACAGCAGCCATACCCATTCCAGTTCTAGTTGGAGTTGCATGCATACAAGCTTTTGGCTGGCACCAGAGCTAGTTGGATACGATTTCGATTTGTCTCTATTCTAATTGGATTTCTGTAAATACAAGTTGGAAAGTTTGGAAGCTGTCTGACCATTGGCTGGTTAAATGTTGTCAGAGTTGCCACCCAAGTAAAAACGATCAACGAAGGAACTTTCGATACTTCAGCCTAAACACAATTATTTACGAACGTAGAGATTTAGACATAGACGCTTGTATTATAACACTTTTTTTTTTGTGCTTTACTAGCTTAGGTACTCCTTAAGACTGTCTACTATTTAGGTAAAAATAATTCATTGTTACGTACTTATCCTGTTGTACACTATTTATATATACAGAGAAAAACAAAAATATCCCTATTTTATAGTCACAAATTTTGAACTGGTACCAAAAAGCGCTAGATTCGATAGAGACCAAATGCTATATAGATACTAAATATATATGTCTAAGCTATAATTTACGATTACGTAAGTGCCCTGCGATATTTATGGCCAATCATCGGCTGGACTTTCCTTAACACACACAACTGTTGTATGTTGTAGGGTATTATCACTGTTGATATTCTAGAATGTGTAGACTCTATCTATTGTTAACCGTTAGTTACACACACACACACACACATGCATTAATGCCGTTATTAATTTACAAATACACCTAACGACCTAACAAATATCAACCAATGTGATTTTAAAACAATTTTGCTCAGATAGCAACAAATAATGAAGAAAATATAAAATAAAATTTTAAATTGAAAAAAAAAAGAAAAATAGCTACTCAAGTTACTGCTCGAGTGGGCTGTGTGTGATTTACTGATTAGTGTGCATGTATCCGCTGACTAATGTCGCACACTGTGCTGATAAAATTATGAAAAAAAAGGAAAGATTCTTTGAGGGGATTTTTCTCTTATTCTTTTCTTTTGTTTAATAACCCTTCGGATTGGCGAAATTCTTAAAAGTTTTCATCACATAAACAAGTTGACAAATGAGATCAAAAACATACAAATATATATACACAGACGGGTATAAGTATATATCTCAAGTGTGTACACTGAGAGAAATGAAATTACAAATGTTGTATGAGATTTGAAAGTGATGGGAACATAACATAGAAACAATGCTAGTGTCAAAAATTTATATCTTACAGTTACTGCCAGTCGCCGGCTTCAGTATGGATTGGTTGGTGCTAATTGAATGGCCGCCACTGTGTAGCGGCGCCTACACTACGCTCCATAAAAAAGCGAACGACTTAGAGACAGAGTTGTGTTTGTTGTAAGCGGTTGTAATATTGATATTTAACAATTAGTTTTTGTTGGTGTTGGTTGTTTGCTTTTGTTTACGTTTCGTCATACATCATACATTGTTTGTACATCGTACATCATACATCATACATAAATAAATACTTATAAATAGTTTGCTTGGTTTCCTTGTTTACCGTCATGTCTTACATAGTTTTCGTTTTTCATTTGGTATTCGAATGCAAATTCATATACAATACATATACATATATATTTATCATATATATATATATACATAGAAGTTCAACATTTCTCTCTTCACATGTCTTTTCCTTAGCCGTCATGGTTAATTGGCATAAAATGCAATTGATTTTTACCATGAACAAATCAGTCTGAGCAATTACAAATACATAAATAAATTTCCTTGCGAGTTACACGTTTACAATCCATATAAATGTTTTGCGGGGGCGTGCGGGGAGCGGGAACGGGACGTGAGGGTGTGGAACAAAGTTCAAGACGCTTTACATTAGCTTTCAGCTTCGCGCTTCGAACTATCAATTGGCACAATACATCTTCTAAATGACAAATATATATATACACACATACAGACATGTATATAGAACAATAATGAAAGTTAATCGATATACATAAATATTATAAACTACACAAAGCGCAAAAAAAAAACACCACACGCACACAAAAATAAAGTGACTTGGTCAGTGCCTTGGGCCTGGTTAAGTTCTATGTCCTGCTTAGGTGCAACAATGGTGGCCGTTTTTAACGTAATAGTTGTGCATGGATACGGTGCCGTTTTTGCTATAACTACCGCTGCCGCCACCATTGTAGTGAGCACTAGCGCCATTTGTGATGCCGCCGGCTGTGCCGTTACTTCCATTGTTTCCATTACTGCTGGCAGCTGCCGCAGCCGCTGCCGTTGCTGTTGCTGTGCCGTTATTCTCCATTCTGCTAGCTGCATCGAACGCCTTTATGTGATTCTGTATAATTTTACACGTGAACTGACGGTGCTGTCCCGGTTCCTATTACCGAAAATGGATATCTAATTAGTAGTTGGCACTTAACATTCATACATACATATGCATACATACATCCATGTTTGTTTGAGCGTGTGTGTGTGTGTGGCGTGTGTAATAGTGTGTGTGTTTGTGTGTCAGTGTTTGAAGGCGCGTTTGGGTATATTTTTACCTACCTTTGGCTGTATGGGAAAGCAACACCAGAGTATAAAAGCTATGAAGGCCACCAATGTGCCCACAAGCAATATGAAATCCTCAATGGTCTAAATATAAGCACAAAGAATGAAAATCAATTAGAAGTCCTCTTTGGATTTGTCCGGCAACGCTACTGTTCTAGTTAGTTTATTGTTGTTCTTATTGTTGTTGGTGATGTTGCTACTTACCGGCTCTTCGCCAAGCAGCACGTGATTTATTAAATAGACAAAATCATCAAATGGCGTCATTATGAATGCCAAAATGTCTCGTAAAAATGCAGCTTTGCAGTTTGTTTGGGTTTCGTTTTTTTCTTATGTTGCTTTTTTTCCGATACGCTGCCTTTACTGCAGCTCCTAGTCGTTTTCGGTGCACTTTTTCGGCTTATTGCATTCACAGCAGTAACGTTAACATGGCTTTGGCTGTGCCATCTCAACACAATCACAAAAACAAATAGTTAAATAAAAATCTCCAACCTTGCACAAAATTATGTGTTGAACGCAGCTGCAGCGGCAGCATAAGCACAGGCACAGCGCTTTGTGATGTGTATGGCGGGTTAAGCTTAGAATATCGATAGTATTGATTGGGGCACCCTAAAATACCAATCACAATTCAATGATATCGGTAGTTTTTCCCCTCGGCTACCGTAATTATATTCGGATATATCATGGTTGAAATATATTGTCTATTAATTATTTAAATAGTTTTAATTTATGGGCTAAAATCAAATTCTCGATACTATCTTTTCTATCTATGGGTAGCACTTGGCAACAAATATACTGTAAATATTGCCAACTTTTTGAAATGGGCATATGAGCGAAGCGCACAATCGACTTGCCGTATTTACAGATATCGTATTTGAATTTCAGTGCATATGTCTTATATTTAAAAATTATGGGGAAAATGCAATTGCCATGTGTAACGAATGCTTATCTAAAATATAAATCCAAGCTCATTCAATCAGACTTATTTTTTGCGAACATGTAAAATATCACAGTAGCAATACTGTCATTCAAATTTAGCGCCCAACTATCGCTGTTAAAGCAATTTGTGTGGAGTGCAGCAAACATAAACAGCCGTTACTTAATTAAGTGAATTTATAATTGTAGCACGCAATATTAATTGCAATGTTCTCGTTTAAATTTATTTGAATTATTGAGCGGATAAATACTTACATATTTAAAGATCACAATAACAGTTATTTTCTTACGTCATTTGTCATATTGAACTATAAATATAAATCGCAAAGCAGCATTTCCTATTGGTTACGGGACTTGTTAAAATGGGTGGGGACTTTTGGATTTGGCTTGCGTGAACGGCCCCGTTAATCAGCGGCTACCACAACGGCTAAGCACACAAACAACGTAAAGGCAATATATCACTGATACATGAACGACTATAATTTATATATATGTACATATGTATATTATTGCCAGCTGGACAGGTTCTTGTTTTTGCTTACGATTTGAGTGGAGTGCAAGCCGACAGCTGAGCGAACGCGATTCAGTTCTAGTAAGACCAGCGCACGGATTAGGCTATTACAAAGCCCTCGCCCTTACATTGCTCTCGCTCTCGCTCAAGATGATCAAGATGAGTCTAATGCCAATTCTAATGCTGATGCTAATGCCAATGGCGATCCCCATTGGCGCCATCGAACAATCGAACGATCTCGCTGATCGATTTCCGTTGTCCATTATACACATTAACGATTTACATGCCAGGTAAGTTTTCTAGTGGTGATAACTGTAAATCACGGAAAAAACACATGCTGCACATGTGTATGTGCCTGTCGACATGTGTATGTATACCCTAGAGTGTTTCTATGGCTCATTGAGTGGGCAATGGCAGATATCATCATATAATCGACTCGAGTACCGTAAACACAATCATCGCAATCATGTGCGCCAAGCTTATCTCCGACAACGGTTTCCACACGGCCATCGTATCGATAAGCAGGCAATATCCCCAAATACACGCCATATACATAATGTGATTACAAATTGCTAAAATTCCCATCGGATCGGATTCTAGATACGAGCCAACGGACATCGGCGGCGGCGCCTGTAATGAGGATGAGCAATGCATCGGTGGCTACGCGCGCACCGTTCACATGGTGAGGCGTCTGCTCGAGGAGCAGAAGGACTACAATCCCATCTACATCAATGCGGGCGACAGTTTCCAGGGCACGCTCTGGTACAACATCGGACGCTGGAATGTGACCCAGGAGATGCTCAATATACTGCCAGCCGATGCGATGGTTCGTTGAACTCCACATATAAGATTTAGACATGGTGCCTTACCCTCACTCCATCGCTTGCTTCTTCTTCATTTGGTAGACCCTGGGCAACCATGAGTTCGACCATGGCGTTTCAGGCGTGGTGCCCTTCCTGAAGACCGTGCAGACGAACATGCTGGTGGCGAACATGGACTGCGCCCATGAGCCCACCATGGAAGGCCTCTACGAGAAAACGAAAATCTTGGAGCGCGGTGGCCGCAAGATCGGTCTGATTGGCGTCATCCTAGAGACCACCTATGTAGCATCCGTCACACTTTCAGTTTGGTTCAAATTTTCATTCACTTCGCTTTGTTTTCTAGGACCTGGCCAACACTGGCAATCTGATCTTCCGCAACGAGAGCGATACGATCCGCGAGGAGGCGCGCTTCCTGTCGGAACAGGGCGCCAACATCATCATCGTGATCTCGCACTGTGGCTACGACGTGGACAAGGTGATTGCCGAGCAGGCGGGCGATGTTATCGATGTCATTGTGGGCGCCCATTCGCACACGTTCCTCTACACGGGCGTGCCGCCTGGACCGGACACTCCGCGGGGCAACTATCCCACCGAGGTGACTCACAGCAATGGCCATCGTGTGCTCATCGTTCAGGCGGGCGCCTATGCCAAATATGTTGGCAATCTAACGGTGTATTTCGACAGCAAAGGCGATGTTATCGACTTCGAGGGTGCACCCATCTATATGAGCCACGATGTGCCGCAGGGTGAGTAGCCTGGTTAAATTATTGTTCTTATATACCCTCAGTACTTAGCTTGCTGATAACATTTACAATCGATAAATATCGATATACGGCAAGGATAATTGTTAAGTATATCTCTGAATTCTTTAAGATGGTCCAATAATTGCCATTGCTGTGTGCACATCTTGACTATCGATAATTATCGATAATGAATGCGTGTCTCGCTCACTTGAAGCTTTAGAGACATTGACTGAGATTTTGTATAAATGTATAAAATACATATATGAAGATCTACGCAAGTGATAATATTCTCGATAAATTCCGATATATATCGATAAGCATGAAATGCCCGTTCAGGGTCAACAATCATTTATAACTATGCTCGACAAATATAAATCGATAATTTAGATCGAATCCAATAGATTTATAGACTCGCATTTAAGCTAAGTATTCGGGTAGGGTATTCTTGCGTCGTGCATGCCTATGCTAACTCGTTTTGTGATGTGTTGCTATTGTTGCTGCTGCAGATGAGGTTGTTGTGGAAGCTATAAAGCCATGGAAGGAAATCATCGATAAGGAAGGCAAGGTAGTGATCGCCCGGAGCCTTGTCGATCTGACCAAAGAAGATTGCAGCAGAGGTGAATGCAATTTGGGCAACTTTGTCTGTGACTCGATGGTGCATACGGTAAGCGAAATATGTGATAAATACGATATGACTAAGCTGATTCGTGTGTATGAAAATCCTTCCTTCAGTTTGTCGGCCTGACACCCTTTGAGAAACCAGAGTGGACGAATGTTTCGATCGCTTTGACAGCCACGGGCGGTATGCGCGTGCCTCTGTATCGTGGCAGTGAGTGAATCCTAAAACTTGATTGATAGTTACAGTAAATCATGCCTAAGCGAAACTCCATGTATATATCTATTACAGATCTGACCTATTCGCATCTGGTGACCATGTCGCCGTTCGAGAATCAACTGATGGCCTACAATTTGCCTGGCCAGAATATTATCGATGCCCTGGAGTATGCAGCTAGCAAGATTGATCTGGAGAACGGGGTAACCAGCTCGTATATAATGCTGCAGGTGTCTGGCCTAAAGGTGACCTTCGACTATACCAAGCCGATCAATTCACGTGTTATCTCTGTCCTGGCCCGTTGTGCCGACTGCGATGTGCCCGTCTACAAGCCACTCGATCCGGCTCAGTCCTATCGCATTATCACTCCCAGCTTTTTGCAAGGCGGCGGCGATGGCTATAGCATGCTCAGTACGGGCACCGACATCCAGTGAGTGTTGATTGTTAGCAGACATCATATCGAATTATCGATATTTATCGAGTTTCCTTCCTTTGCAGAGTGAGCATTACTGACATAGATGCCCTCATCTCGTACGCCAGCAATGTGAATCCCATCTACACGGGCCTTGAGGGTCGTATTACAGTGCTAAACTAAACCACGTTTTTTAGACAATAACGATAAATATCGATTTATAGCATTGGTTTGTTTGAAACGCAACAAAACCTATTGAGGCGAAAATTTTCAACAGTATGTTCCTCTATGAAATAGAAATCGATAAGTATCGATGGTTACAAATATGAGCTTTATTTCTTTATATATTTAACCAAATTCTGATGTATGTAAATTAAACTATTGTGAATAAAATACATTTACACTACGAGACAATCTATTTTCAAATGCTCGATAGAGAAAAGGCTTAAAACATATAGAACTGTTTTTCTATGTTTTTTATAATCCTATTCTACCTCTAGAACGCTGCGACTAACCTGGTTTATCTATATTCCCGCTGTATTTCCAAGATTTGTTTAATCTTCGATACTTATAGGTATTCCCGATGGATTTCCATTGATTGCGTTCAAAGAAATTATATATGAATTATATTGTTTTTAACAAGTTTTGATAGCTTATCTATATGGAGATATCGCATTCAATTATTTCTATTAGTTCTTAACTCTGATGTGTGTGTGTTGGGTTTCTTCAAATTAGAGAGGGAGAGTGAGTGAAGGAACGAGAGAGAGTGAGAGAGAGAAGGAAAGACAGAGTCAGGGGCAGAGCAAAACAAGGTATACCTAATCTGGTATATGTATATTCCCTACACAAACTAGAAATGTCTTATATCACTTTTTTGTTGCGTTCCTTGGCACAAATCCAATGTGAGCCTTTGTCATATGCAAAGCTATTACAGGGTATACATTCATTTGTACCATAGTATAATGATGTCAGCTAAGTACTTAAAGAACTTCTTCTTATGTACACAAATAATAGTCCTATTATTAATGTTGACTAAGTATAGAGTATGCTCACCCATGAACAAATGGGATTCATTTTTCGTTTCCCTTTTCATGACCATTGGCTATGCAAGATGAAGCCGTTCTTGTAGCTCTGGAGCCTTGGCAGGCACAACTGGAGGAGGCATCCAATCGTATTGTGGGCAACAGTCGCGTCTATTTGCAGCAAGTGGAATGCGCACGAGGCGAATGCAACCTGGGCAATCTCTATACAGATGCCATGTTGCATGCTGTGAGTAGTTTTTCTATATTCTCCATGTCTCTCACTAATCCTGAATATTTGCAGTTTATTAAGAAGGCATCCGCTGAAGCGTCCAACTGGAGCAACGTGACCATCGCGCTGACCAGCCAAGGCAACTTTCGTGTGCCTCTGCCAGCGGGCAGTAAGTAAAATCATAAGTAGCCCCTTGACAGCTAGCTAAATGTAACTAATTGATATCCAATCCGCCATAGACATTACTTATAAGCAGCTGGTGGCCATGTGCCCGTGGGAGAATCATTTGTATGCGCTGAATTTACGCGGAGATCGTTTGTTGCAGCTGATGGAGGATAGCGTGGCACCAATGAATGCCAGCCTAAAATTTCCCACATCCAAACGTTTTCTTCAAGTCTCCGGATTGAGAATCATTTATAATCTAAAAGCTGAGCCCGGCAAACGGGTGCGCCAAATACTCGTGCGCTGCTCCAATTGTCCAGTGCCTGAATACCAGCCCTTGGAACAGAGTCAGCATTATCGGCTAGTAGTCATGGAGTATCTGGCCAATGGCAAAAATGGTTTCTCTTTGATCAGCGACCATGCCCAAGACCTTGAGTAAGCTACGCCACAGATATTAGTTGATTCGAACATCTAACGAGTCTCTTTCAGAATGGGTCCCTTTGATTTAGACGCTTTAATGGATTATATGACTGTAATTGGGCCTATAACTGCCGGGCTAGAGCAGCGAATACAATTTGTAAATGATTGAAAATAGTGCTTTTTCAAATAAACGTTGCCGGAATGAAAATTTAATTTATCGATCTATCGAGCTACCCATCTATCGTATAAATTTTAGCCAAAGGCATGAAGTTGGTTGCTTTGGAATTTGTCACTTTATTTAACTATACGCTTTTTTTAGCTTACGCGTTGCGGTCACACTGATCCAGTAGTCACTCATTCAAAAGTCTTGTTAAGGTTAAGAGTCCGCCTGCGGCACATTTCGAGCAAGTGAGCTTGTTAATTTACATCAAGTCAAATCGGAAGTGTTTCAACACAAAGCTTTATTTTTTGATTATAAAACCTATTACAATCAAATAAAAAAAACTGTACAAATGTAAGTAAAACGAGCTAATTTATTCTTTAACGTTCATATACCGCGTGTGCTCAAGTATTTGGATTATCATTGATGTGTGTGTGCGTGCGCGTGTGTGTGCATTGCGGTGTTATATAAGATAACCGGCAAAACGAGCGGCTGGCTTCCTTCTAGAATCTTCTGTAAAACATAACGTGAATTGAATTGATGCAAATGTATGTTAATTATAACTGCAAATGACAATTCGTGCGGGCATTCTCCCTTACTTTCCATTGATAATCGCAGATTTTCCAATTGGATTTACTTTCCAACGACACACACACACACACCCAGACTCATACTCACGTAACAGCGGCGAACGCACATGTTTTCTTTATTCGTCCGATTTCACAATTGCTATGCGAGAACAGTGCATGTTTTGTTATTGGACTTTGCATTTCTTGGGTATATGGAAGGTTTATGCACTTGGCCCACATTTCATAACAACCCTAAACATTGCAGCAGCTCACTCTCTAAAGCGAGGGGTGGGGGGGCTCGGCCCGGTTACATAAATGATTTGTTCTGGAAGACTTGTTCTCGCGCCTTGCTATGTATGTATGTATATGTAGATAGCCCGCACCGGCAGGGGGTCGCCGTGCTCTTATCAATGATTTAATATGAACTGAAATGGAAATCAAATTCCATATTGCATTAATTAGCGCTGTGCACGTGTTTTTTTTTTTTTTTTTTCTTCCGTTTGATGTCTTGCCAGCAATTGATTTATCGATAATTTGATTGCGCTCTGTGCATTGCAGATGTTCCGTTTACCCGTTTCACTTGCACGCACCTCCATCAGCCGGCAGCTGGCGATGCGCGGCTATGCAAAGGATGTTAAATTCGGTGCTGAGGTGCGCGCCATGATGCTGCAGGGCGTCGATGTGTTAGCCGATGCTGTGGCCGTGACCATGGGACCCAAGGGTCGCAACGTGATCATTGAGCAGTCATGGGGCTCGCCAAAGATCACCAAGGATGGCGTAACAGTGGCCAAGTCCATTGAGCTGAAGGACAAGTTCCAGAATATCGGCGCCAAACTGGTTCAGGATGTGGCCAACAATACCAATGAGGAGGCCGGCGATGGCACCACCACGGCCACCGTGCTGGCTCGTGCCATTGCCAAGGAAGGCTTTGAGAAGATCTCAAAGGGCGCCAATCCCGTTGAGATTCGTCGCGGCGTTATGGTCGCCGTCGAGACCGTCAAGGATAACCTGAAGACCATGTCGCGTCCCGTCAAGACTCCCGAAGAGATTGCCCAGGTGGCGACCATCTCGGCAAACGGTGACCAGGCCGTCGGCAAGCTGATCAGCGACGCCATGAAGCGTGTTGGCCGTGATGGTGTCATTACCGTCAAGGATGGCAAGACCCTTATCGATGAACTGGAGGTGATCGAGGGCATGAAGTTCGATCGTGGCTACATTTCGCCCTATTTCATCAACTCGTCGAAGGGCGCCAAGGTCGAGTTCCAAGATGCTTTGTTGCTGCTCTCCGAGAAGAAGATCTCCTCAGTGCAGAGCATCATCCCAGCTCTCGAGCTGGCCAACTCACAGCGCAAGCCTCTGGTCATCATTGCCGAGGACATCGATGGCGAGGCTCTGAGCACTCTGGTCGTCAATCGCTTGAAGATCGGTCTGCAGGTGGCTGCCGTTAAGGCGCCCGGTTTCGGCGACAATCGCAAATCCACTCTGACCGACATGGCCATCGCCTCGGGCGGCATTGTCTTCGGTGATGACGCCGATCTGGTTAAACTGGAGGATGTTAAGGTCAGCGACTTGGGCCAAGTGGGTGAGGTGGTCATCACAAAGGATGATACACTGTTGCTGAAGGGCAAGGGCAAGAAGGAGGATGTTCAGCGCCGCGTCGATCAGATCAAGGAACAGATCACAGAGACCACCTCTGAGTACGAGAAAGAGAAACTGCAGGAGCGTCTGGCTCGTCTTGCCTCTGGCGTTGCTCTGCTGCGCGTCGGCGGCTCCAGCGAGGTGGAGGTCAACGAGAAGAAGGATCGTGTCCATGATGCTCTGAATGCCACACGTGCCGCCGTCGAAGAGGGCATCGTTCCCGGTGGCGGCACCGCTCTGCTGCGCTGCATCGAGAAACTGGACGCAGTCAGCACACAGAACGACGATCAGGTAAGATATGACAACGCAACGCTTGTTCAAGCGCTATAATCTTTACAATCACTTCTTCTATAGAAACTCGGCGTGGATATCGTGCGTCGTGCTCTGCGCATGCCCTGCATGACGATTGCCAAGAACGCGGGCGTTGATGGCGCCATGGTTGTGGCCAAGGTGGAGACTATGGAAGGCGATTATGGCTACGATGCACTCAAGGGCGAATATGGCAACCTGATTGAGAAGGGCATCATTGATCCCACCAAGGTGGTGCGCACCGCCATCACCGACGCCGCTGGCGTTGCCTCGCTGCTGACAACCGCCGAGGCTGTGGTCACTGAGACGCCCAAGGACGATGCTGCTCCTGGCATGGGCGGCATGGGTGGTATGGGCGGTATGGGAGGCATGGGTGGTATGGGTGGCATGATGTAATCGTCTAAAGTCAACCACTCCCCCTAGACTTCCATACACACTCACACCCACACACACAGACACAGACACACACACACACGTCATTCATACGTTTAGGGCTCATGATGCACAATGCCAGAGTAGGGGATGGGCTCAACCATATTCTATTAACGAGGTGTAGTTAGTTTTCGTTATACAACACACACCAAGACACACACACACACATACACACACACGCTCTCATACACTCATGTATTTGGTGGTCGCCGCCGCCGTGTGCTTTGTTTCGCATTTATATCCTGTTTTGAACAATTGTGCCGGATTCGCTGCCCATCCCATACGCTCGCATTTCTGCAGTCGTGATTCACATATTCTTTTCAAATTTTTTTTTTTTATTATTTGTGAAAAAAAAAAAACTATTCCTAAATACTATTTTTTACATGTTATATATGTAAAGGCAACAAATAGCGTTAGTTGTAAAAATAACAATAAAGAATACAAAATTATTGAAGAAACACGTTATTTCTGTTTAGAGGGTGTGTTGGTGAAGAAGGGGAGATGGAAGAAGTTTGGAAAAACAAGATGGATGTAAATATGAATATGCATCCGGCCTAGAGAAGCATCTATATATTCTCAGTGTGCCTATATGTTCAAGCTAAATTGGATGACCGATTCCATGAGGTAGAGCGAGAATACTGGAAGAAGCCTGTGCTCCACCCAGATCTACGCCACTTTCATCTTACCAAGGAACTGAAGGGGCATACGAAAGGACGGAGAAGTTTCCAGTGCTTCAGGAAACTGGAATATTCAATCGACATTGCTTTGATCACATACCAGAGATAAATAAATAAAAAACACTCGAGGGTTATATTTTTGAACGGTACACACACATAGAGTTTTATTTACAATTTGGTAAGTTCGCTTAGATCCATAAGATTCGATAAGATCTCGTATAAAACATTTACTGATAGCCGATTGCTGTATAAATGTATTCACTACATATACATAATAATATGTCCTTTTAAATACTTTCAGACATTGAATTTGAATAGTTCTAAATACAGTTACAAATACAGACAAATTGATTTCTATGTATGGGTATATATATATATACATATATATATATATGTATGGAGTATATATATATGTACATATAAAGTTAATAGAGTTCCGCCTTTTGCATGACCGCTTCGACGAGGGCTTTGAAAGCATCCTCGATCATATTAATGTGAAGCTGGGCATCGCGGTACGAGCAGAGCTTCGCGCTCTCGGTTAGAGGCATTTGCATGGTGGTGACACCGAGGGAGGACTGCGAGTGGAGGCTGCGGCCGGTGTTCATGAGGATGTTGACACAGTCGTCCGCTAGAATGGGAAACGTTTCGACGAACCGCACCATGGCGGGCAGCACGTGCCGCAGGAATTTGCATTTGGCCGATGCGGTGAGCAGCGAGAGCGTCGTCTGTATAACATTCAGACAGAACTTGGAGACGCCCAAGCTTTTGGGTATCGAATAGTTCAGGACCAGGTGCGACGTCAGCTCAATGGTGAAGATCTGTTTGTCCATTTCGGTGACGTTGAGGAATTCGTGGACGAAGTCAATGCAAATGTGCATCGAGGGCACGCTGGCCACGATCATCGGTATGACGGACTTGGGATATGTCTGGAAGTGCACCAGTTTGGCCAGCGATGGCTCCGTTATGAACGCCTGATGCACATACGTGCCAATGATGCCCTGCAGCTCGCGCAGCTCCAGCTTCGCCACACGCGTGTTCGCCTTGCTGTCCATGTAGTCGAGCACCTCGAGCAGTATGTGAACGGCCGCACTCTCCTGCGATGCAATCAGCGTCGTCTTCAGCTCCTCCCTGTCCGCATCCGTTTGCACTAGGCCATTCTTGTCCAGCACCTGCTTCTGTTGCATGTGCACGTTCAGAAAAGTCTTCGACGCGGCCAGGCTACCCTTCAGTATTCGCAGCAGTATGACCAACATGTACGGGGAGCAGAACACCTCGCGCGAACATCTGCAGAGAAGAGATTGGATGAGACGATTAATGGAAACTCTTGATGGCCTAAGATGTAGATGAGGAAGACGTAGCGAGAGGTAGAGGGGACGAGGGCAGAGAGAAGAAACTTGTGAGAGCAAGAGATAGAGAA